ATAAAGAAAAAAAAGAAGAAAAATAAGTGTAATCTTCAGCGAAGCCCTAAGAAGGTTAAGTGGCCGAAGACCCTAAAAACAACTAAGTTTTCAAAAAAAAAAAAAAAAAAAAATAAGTTTAATCTTCAGCGAAGCCCTGAGGAGGATTAAGAGGACGAGGATCCTAAGAACGACTAGGTTCCAGAAGAAAAAAAAGAAGAAAAATAAGTCTAATCTTCAGTGAAGCCCTGGGAGGATTAACAGGACAAGGACCCTAAAAACGACCAAGTTTCCAAARAAAAAAAAAAAAAAAAAGTGTAATCTTCGGCGAAGCCCTGGAAGGTTGAGTGGGTGGTAAACCCACAAAAACGACAAAGTTCCCAAGGAAAAAAAAATAAAAAATTAAGTGTAATCTTCGGCGAAGTCCTGAAGAGGGTTAAGAGGACGAGGACCCTAAAAACGACAAAGTTCCCAAAGAAAAAAGAAAAGAAAAATAAGTGTACTCTTCGGCAAAGCCCCGGGTGGATTAACAGGACGAGGAACCTAAAAACGACTAAGTTTCGATAGAAAAAAAATAAGAATACTAAGTGTAATCCTCGGCGAAGCCCTGGGAGGTAAAGTGGGTGATCAACCCATAAAAACAACTAAGTTCCCGAGGAAAAAAAAAAAAAAAAAAAAAGTGTAAGCTTCAGTGAAGCCCTTGGAGGGCAAGAAGATGAGGACTCTAAAAACGACAAAGTTCCCAAAGAAAAAAAAGAAGAAAAATAAGTGTAATCTTCGGCAAAGCCCTGGGAGGTTTAAGAGGACGAGGAGCCTAAAAACGACAAAGTTCCCAAAAAAATAAAAATAAAAAATAAGTGTTATCTTTGGCAAAGCCCTGACAGGGTTAAGAGGACGAGGACTCTAAAAACAAATAAATTTTCAAAAAAAAAAAAGAAGAAAAATACATGTAATCTTCAGTGAACCCCTGAGGAGTGTTGAGAGGAAAARAACCCTAAAAACGACAAACTTCCCAAAAAAAAAAAAAAAAAAAAAAAARMRWAAWAWTCARMRAARCWCTAGGGAGGGTWAAGARRAMRARRAMMMWAAAAAMRACAAAGTTCCTAATAAAAAATAAGAAAAAAAATAAGTGTCATCTTCGACGAAGCCCTGGGAACGATTAAGAGGACGAGGACCCTTAAAACGACTAAGTTCCGAAAGAAAAAAACGAAGAAAAACAAGTGTAATCTTCGGCGAAGCCCTAAGGAGGATGAGT